TATATATATAATATATATATATAATTAAAAAATATATAAACATTTATTAACAGTTCACAGAGTACTGATTAAAATTTTCCATAACAACAAATAAGGAAAATACTTTTATTATTTCAGCATAGTTGTAGTTGGGCTGTAGATGAATCTTCTGTGTCAGAATTTCATGGATTGAAGAAGTGCCCAGATACTGTCATCTCCGCATGTCTGATAATTGACTTGTGTACTTTGTTCTTGCAGTTTTACAAGGAAGTTTGCACCTCACACCTATTCAGAAACAGGTGTGGGCTATGAGCCTGCATTTTTTGTCTGGTGTTGATCTGGTTTATGAGACTATGAATGGTGCATTCCAACTTCTATACAAACTAACCTAAGTAAAGCACAGCAGGGATCTGTCTCCTGGGGAGATTTGGCACCAGAATTTGTTGAACCCCGGACATTCTACTTACCAAGTAATTGGACAGATATTAATATACAATTTCCTGATTGATAAACCTACTTCCATTTCCTTTGGGGTCATGTTGTACTGGATGTTACTGCAATGCACTTTAATGCACAGACATTGGCAGTCTGTAGAGGCGCCATTCATCTTAAGTGTCACTTCAATGCACATACCCAACACACATTACAGCTCTCTGCGTTTTAGTCCAGGACAATGCACAGATGTGACCATCTGAGTGTTGTGCTGTGCAGTGTTAAGGTGCGCTGATAGCTTATTCAAAATGAATGAGCTCCTAAATGCAAAGAGCCTCAATGTACAATAATGCACGCAAAATGCGCAGAACAAAAAAAATGCAGGGCGCATGTAGCTGAATCTGCTACACGAGCTACTTTCATATGTGTGTGGCGCCTATTAGAATCAATGGGAAAGGCACAGCAAGCATGCGAACGAAATCACATGAATACAGGCGAACAAGACACGCATTCCCAGTTTACCTAGGTGTGAACGGGGACTTAAGTGTTGAAATACTTTCTTGGTCAGTACAATGTATTTCCTGCACTGTGTTTTTAACCCCTTCTCTGCTATATTAAAAAAATAAAATAAAAACTGTTTTAGCTATTCATTATAAAAGCAAAGTATATTAAAATAATTGCAAACCTAGTATACAGTGCATTAAATATATTAGGCCTTCTTTTTTTTTTTTTTCTTTTACTTGCCCTTCAGGCTTCTGATCTTATTTCCCCTTATATATTTGCAGTAAATCTTCCCACACAATGCACTTAAGTACACAATACATAACTTGTTTTATACAGATATGAGGACACCCATGATCGGGTATGAAGTGGAACCCAGTACAGAACATGGCTTGCATCATTTGCTGATAGAGCTGACATGTTTACTTTTGTCAATGTATAGATTTATCTGTTTGTGTTGTAAGTCAAGGTTATAACTTTCCATTTGTGCAGAAAGATACAAAGTGAGAAGTGTCTATGAGGAAGTGAAGCAAATGCATTTTCTATGGAGATTATTCTGTCTGTGCTTTCAGATCTTTTTTATCAAGCATCACAAATGTATACTGCATAGAGATTAATAAAGCAATAGATGCCACTGTTGAAGATAAGTAGAGTAAAAGGATATGTATCAGAATGACTTCTGATAGATGATTTTGATACACTTGTCAGAATGGTGTCTTTTGCCAAGGTGTAAAGTGTATTAGCTTTGAATTGGAGTAGCTGAAATGTCCGGAAACATAAGCGTATAAAGCGTATAAAGCAGCGAATGTGATATTCAATGCAGTGGAATCTTTGGAGAGTACAGTAGATACAGCGGCGGATTGATATCTGCTGTACTCTCCAGTGCAGGCCGGGCCAGAACTTTAACTTAATTGTCGGGCGCCGCGGCTCCTGATATTAATGCGCCGGCCGAAAGTGAGGAAATAGTCCCCTCTTTATCGGAGAGCCCGGGGGAGGCTGGGAGAGAGGGGACAGTTTGACATTATGAGGTTCCACAGGCTGAACCACAAATTCCCCCTCTAGTTCTCTCTAATGCAGATGGGCCGGTCTATGCAGACATGACGCCGCGACCCACTGCAGAGGGTGTCGCGACCCACTTTTGGGTCGCGACCCACGAGTTGAGAACCACTGTCCTAGAGCATATATTTTAAATGACAGTGATTTACCTGGGTGATTGTCACATTCACTGGTTGATAAATATGTCCTATAGAAATGGAGGTTGGTTAAAGAATATAATGTAATATATGTACAGTGTACTGTTCTTGCATCTAATGATGATTTAGATTGGAAAAAGAAAAGACAATGTAAGGACCCATTCACACTTCTGTTTGGGACAGTCTCACAAATGTTTCAAGAGCTATTTGCATGTAATTGGGCATGCAGTGATTACCTGTGGATGATTGCCCCAGGCACTGGTAAACATCTGTAGATAATTGCTGCATGTTTGATTACATGCAAAGGGATGTGGGCGCTGTCAGCTGTCATTGCTTTGAGTAGCACATCCCACACGCAAATGTTCACATGTGTCTTTTGAAGAAATTTGTGAGGCTGCAAGTGTGACTGGTGGGTGGATCGAATGGAGCGATGCTGGTGGTGCACGCAAGCACCAGGGAGACCTCTAGCTGGCTTCCCGCCCAGCTCACTGATGTCACTGGTTGCCAGGAGCTGGGCGGGACACATGGCCAGTGCATCCCAGGTTGCTAGGAGTCTGGTTTTGGCAACCTGAGACGCTCTGGCCGGAAAGGAGTCGGCAGGCACACTGGAAATATTGTGCAGCTGTGCCGCTCTGCCTGCCGCCCTCCCCACATGACCCAAAGAGTTGCCGCCTGAGCCTCCTGGGGTCTCAAAGGGACAGGCCTGGTAGGCAGCGTTATTGGCCAATAGAAGGGCAGGACAAGCCTTTTAGGGGAGCTCACCATATGGCCATGACAGGAGAGTTTGGGAGGCTTATGCTGATATGTGCAGTTTTATTTTTTGATTTGTGGAATATTTATTTCCCAATGACAGTCTCTTTAAACAATACATAGAAATAGATGGCTACAACTTACATAAACAAACTACTTTTACAACTTAGCTCTGCTTATAGATTAAAAAATGAAATACGCTTATTGCATTGAAATACAGTCCCTAGGCTATGAAAACTCTTAAAGTGACACTAAAGCCAAGTGTCTGATTTGGCATTTTTTTCTCCATTTTGTTGTGTCATACCAATACAAACAAAAGAAATAAACATGAGAATGCCTAAACATTTGTAATTGCAACAATTTTCTGCGCGAAGTGGTGCATTATCTGACAGAAATGCAGGGGTGCCAATATTTTTGGCCATATTATTTCTCAGATAGAACCATCGTAAAGCATATCAGGGGTTTTGCCAAAAAAAGTGTGGCACTCAACTGAGGGGAAATCTCCCCCATGGGACATAGATGGCACAAAAACTATGACACGGGTTGTAACCCTCCCGTACACTATCCAAATTTTAAGAAAAACTCTGGGCAGTTAAAAAATATTGTGCTGGTGCTCATTTTGGTCTAAGGTCTAAATAAAAAAGATATACTCACCTGATCCTCAGTCCCACGGCGGTGATCGCTCACTTCTCTCCACCTCTGCTGTGGAATGTCCCTCAGCGTCCTCGCATCCAATGCAAGTGAATGAACGTGATGACAACATGGGACCTTAGACTGCTGTAGCCCAGGGGAGTAGAGGCTACAGGGACCAGTCTAGCAGTCTGGTGGGACAGAAGATTGGGTGCGTATAGTGAGTATATCTTTTTT